ATGATTATCTAAACGACCATTCAACTTTGTCAACTTTTAAATGAAAAAATCCTCATTAAAGACAACCTCTTCATATCAAGTGTCTCCCTTGTTAATTTAACAATAGCATTGCCTGTGGACAACAAGTCTTACAAATTGAAGTTATCTACCCCAAATCTTTGTAGTCTTGATTTTAGTGGTCATTCTTTGCAGAATTTATGTGGGCACAATTGCATTAGCAATACCAATTTCTCTTATATTAAACATGTAAGGATTAATTTATCACACCGTCAACCCCAACTTTCTCCCTCAATTCTATTCAATTGACTTGTTGAGCTTGCCCTTATGGAATCATTGACAATCTCTTCAAAGACTCTTGAGGTTTTTCATTTTTTTTAAAACGCGTTTGCATTATTTTTTATTGACTGATCTTAAATCACCTTCATTCTTCATTGCTTAGGTTCATTCCTCATTGCTTAGGTTCTCAGCTTAATTCCTGATTCATGGAAGATTGATTTCTCTTGAAGTTATTGAAAATAGAAACACATGAATTTTTACCGTCACCCCCGATGAACTGAAGACTTTTTGCTTCAAAATGCACAGTCAGCAAAGAAAGTCATTTTGCCGGGGTAAATTTGCATTCAAATTTTAAATACAATTGTTTGATACGCTGTGCTGGTTTTCTCATTTTGTCCGTTAGTTTTCTCTAATTCGTTTTTCAACTGTCTCTCACACTCGCTACTACACATACTCTCACGCTCGGTCACTCCTTCTTTTTCTTTCGCATACTCTCACACTCACCTTTACACATTCTCTCACTCTCGCCTTTACACATTCTCTCACCCTCGTCATCATTATGGTGAGTTCTTTTTCATCTTCTTCTAATATTTTAACTGTGGAAGACCCCTTGATATGGATTCTTTGGGCTGGTTTTCTTCCTTTCAAACCAGTGGCGAATTCTCTCGTTTACTACTTTCCTGAGGTCACGTCGAACACCTTAACAATTCAAAGTTATAACATGGATATGAGGTGTTCCAAGTGTTATGGTGATGTAAAATGGTCTATGTAGTGATTTACTTCAAATGATCATTTTGAGTGTGTGTAGTTTTTTAGGTGGTTTTATGTTTAGAAGTGAGACTGGTGTGAAAATTGCAAAGGGAGCAAATTTGGTGCTTTTCTTCACTTACAAGCAAGGATGGTAAGAAGGAGAGCCATGTGTTCTCTTGTGTGTTGAAATCTCTGGTGTCTAGAATAGAGTGGGATGAACCCTTTATTTATAGGCCAAGTGAAGTTTGGGGCATAATTGTCCAAGTGGTATTAAAGGTGGTTTTAGTGAAAATCTCATGAATCTATATGATGGTTTTGGTTCTGCATGCTTTGCTTGCTTGCAAGGAGTTTACCCCTCTAAAACCAGCTAGCAATGAGCTATGAAAAGTGACTTTGAGTGATCAAGGACCCCCCCTGCTGCAGCCACCAATACTCTCTCTCATGGTGTACCTTTTGCATTTTTTTCATTAAACTAACGGGTCTTGTCTGGAACTTAAGATTTGCTTGGATTTTTTCCTGATCTAGTTTAAAGTGCACTCTAATACATCCTATCAGAGGTAATTCCATGGTTAGAAATGAAATACATGGTTGGAAACCAAGTATATGTTGAGTTTTGACATGATGATCATTAAGTGTTTGGAGCCAACTGTTCCAATTCAAAACTCTCAGCTCACAAGGTCTATGGAGGAGTTCTTGTATTTTTTGGAAATCCCTCACATTTTTTGCACATGGACCACTATTACACTTTCGTAAGACTTGTCAAGACATTTCCAACAAGCTTTGAACCACCTCATTTGGATGTGTGGTTAGGAAGTTATGGTCTTGCCCTTTTCAAAATCCTAATTCCCGACTTTTTCGATTACTCCTCAATCCTTGATCCAATGGTCATGAAATTTCACGGATAGATGTAATATGTCATTAGGAACATATTTGCTTAAAATTTTAAGGTCAAATTTCTTATGGTCAAAGAGTTGACTTTTTAGTCAAACGAAACGGTAGATCGATAAGTACCGGATCGACTATTGATGTTATGGGTCTTTTGAGGCCTTGAAACCCATTGGGGAGACTTCACTGAGCCATATGAGATTTATGGACCATGATTCCATCATTGGAACACCTTTTAAATCAAAAGTCAAACTACAGTTGACTTTTCCTGATCAGAAACCCTAATCGGGTGTCCTGAACTGCATTGTTCTTGATCTTTGAGTGACAACCTCAAATTGGATTCATACTTGACCCAATATAGTATTGTTAATGATGTAGAGACTTGTTTCATGGAGAATCAATCCAATACATTGACTGATCAGACCATCGAAACCTAGATTTCGAATTGTATGGAACCCTGATTCATTTGTATCTTGACAAAGACAAACTTGAAATAGGTTATAGTTAGATAAACAAATGAAGATGGTCTTAGAATGATGATGAAGATATAATGGTCAAAATTTGGGGTGCAACAAAGGGCAGTCAACAGGACCCTCATTACAACAAATATACCTGTCGACCGAACCACGAAAGATTAAAGACTTAGTATTTTGTACAAGTTCAAAGGCTTTGAGGAAGTTGCGTCGACAACATGTCAAATAGTTATGATTAGAAGTCTGTGGGGACATTTGAAGCAGTTATAACTCAATGCGGGTTATAAACAGAATAAATCGTGGGTGATACGTAGGCACACTAATGAAAACCTGAAGATTTAACGTGGGGTAAAGCACATTAGTTCCATAACGGGTGGAACCTTCATCGACGATTATTTTGTAAATAGAATAAATAACAGACTCATACATTGTAACAAATGTAACAGAATTTCATACATACTCTTTATACCATTGGAGTACCCGAGTCAAAAAGCGAAACAATGTGTGAGAAACATGTATATGTCTGCGTCCAGTCTTTTCATTGTCTTCTTATATCCTTAAATGCAACATTTACTTGCTTTTACTTTCACTTTCATATTTGTTTAATATCATTTATTACATTTTACCTTATCATTTATTATTATTTAACTTCATTTAAAGTCTGTTTTTATGTCGTTATCGTGCAAATGACGATTGCATTCAATTTACATGCATGTGTGTTCACATGAACCATTTGCACAAATTGTTTTGGAAAATTTTCGAATTAATCTCACTTGCTCTCTTAACTCGTAATTGATTACCAAAAACACCGATAAACACACGTACCAATCCAATTAAAATTTATTTTTTTATAGTTGATCAACATCATCAAAATTATCAATAATAATAAAAATCTTAAATTTACATATAAATAATATATATTAAACAATTAAAATCTTATAAATACATAATACAATGTATTATGATAATAAAAATAATTTTTGTTTACGTAAGTATACCATTAAAAATGGATGGATCATAAAAATGAATTATAATAATAATTAAACACTATTGTTTTTTTTTTAAATTACTTTCAATATATTTAACAAAATGGAATTAATATATTATTATTATTATTATTATTATTATTATTATTATTATTATTATTATTATTATTTAAAATAGCACTTCTTACTGAAACCGAGAAGAAAAAAAAGTTTCTGGATGGGTTAAATCAGTCCAACGAATCAAGCAGTTGGAAAACCTAATTTTAAAGGGGTTGGTCTGGGCGGGCTGGGTATCAAATACTGACCCATGGATACCTTAACCCGCCCTAATAGAAGAACTAAATAGTGTTTTAGGAATAATATTCAGCCAATAGTCATTTCCCCTCATTCCAATTTCATTTCACGTTGTAATGAGGGTCACCATCGTCCTTCATTCTCTTCTCATTAATTACCTATGTTCCTCATCCTCTTCTCATTAATCACCACCGACCCATTTCACTTCTCTTCTTACTCATATTTTTGTGGTTTCTTATGAAGTTTGAAGACTTTTGGAAGTTTAAAACGAAGGTTACATCTTTTTCAGCTAAAGGTTTGAACTCTTTGAATTAATTTGTTTTGTATGATTTTGTGCCTTGTGTTTTCTATTTATTTCTTACCAAAGTTGTGATCTTTTTGGTAATAGGAAGAGCTAAAAGTTTGAAGAATTTTGGAAGTTTGAGTCGAAGCCGACATCTTTGTAAGTCTTAGGTTAGATGTTAAATTTAAGTGACATTGCCTCACACATTTTAGAGACTAAAATGAGTGTTTAGTGTTTGTTTACTCATTTTTATTTAGGAATGGAAAGTTGTGTAATTTTGACAACGAAGTTTTTGTTACTGCTAGAGGGCTTGGAGTAAACCTGTGGTGGTGGGTCATGTTGTTCTTATAATTGAGATTTTCAATGCTCATACATACACTAAGGTAGGCAGGCTTCATGTGTGTAATGTGGTTTCATTGGGTTTATGGCCACAATACCTACTATATCCGCTGTATTCCACTAGGCCATGTTTATATGGAAGATTTTTGGCTAGCTGCAATAATCTGCCATTGATAACAGCAGTAACAGGTGATGCCATAAATGTCGGGAATGACCAGAGTTGTTGTTGGCAGAGTTGATGGGCCTGAGCCTGTAAAGGTGGATGAGACATAGGTTTACAACATATGCTAATAATGGTTGGAAATGGAAAGTTTTCCACTTTCTTTGATTACATATATATGTAAGGGAAATAACAAAAGCTTAAGTCAAAATAGGGGGCGGTTAGTAATGGAGCTTTATACCTTCCAACGCAAGCGGTGAGAATAGATGTGAATTACAGTGCATCATTAAAATTTAAAATGCTCGGTTAATGCACTATGACAGTATTATTTTTCCACGATTGTGCATGACTGATGATTGATAACCCTGGAGACTGTATGTTATGTGTCGGTAGCGGTGTTATTTTGGTTATGTTGCGTGTCATTCTTAACCATTGTATTTTAGCTCACATTAGCTAAGAATTCTTGAACCCTGGTGTTGTTCCATTTAGTTCTTTTTTGCATTATATGTAATTAAAGAAAGACTCAACTGTAGATTGCATTTGCAGTTGCTGGGATGTTAAGTAAATCTTCAAAAGCCTCATTGGTATGGACACTTAGTAGCAAAAGTTCTTCTAGAAATGACAGGAACTCGTGGCATTATCAAAGGTTTCCATGGAAAAGAGCAACATATTTAAGAAGCTTCATTCATAATTCTGCTTCAAGCTTCAATAGTGGTTCCTTATCTGCAGCCAGGTACCTAAGCATTTGTTACTGCTTCCTTCCTCTATTTTCCGCTCTTTAATTTGGCTGTGTTCCTCGATGATATTCAATTGCATTTTTTAATCAGTGTTTGTCTTTCAGCAAGAAATTGCTTCTATTGAGAAAGAGGGATAATGTATACACCAGGTCAACCCGTGGGTTTTCTCTTTGGAAATCCAAAGTTTTAGGCGTTGGTGGGTCTAGTTTAAAATGGTCAAAATCCATTGAGAAGCACTCAAAGAAAGCTAATGAGGTTAGTTTGGATTTTGATGCCATGACGCTTTTCCTTGAAGTTTCCTTTTCAAAGTTAGTTATATTTTATACCAAGTATGATATGCCTTCAACAATTATTCATTTAATTTCTCATTATTATTTTAGGAAGCTACACTTGTTGTTGCTGTTGTTGAGAGGAAGAAGAGAGAAAAGAAAAAATCAGCTCGTAGTGGTTCTCAGACAAAGAGTAGGAAGAATTCTTTCCATGAGTTTTTGTCATATCAAAATGCGGAAGACTATATTTTCATTTTTGCTATTATTAAAACTTCTTTATGCCTGCATGCTTATGAAAAAAATACATCTTTTTGCTATTAGTTACCATTGTCTATTGCTCTGACATTATAAGTAGCGGTTGATTGTGTAGGAGAACGAATTTTTCGTGTTGGTTCAGTTCGCTACAGAATGGATCCTTCCAGGCGGACAATTCAGAGGATTTCAGGTGCATGACATTTTTACATTTCTTAGCATTTTATGACCTAATATGGATGTGGTCAAACTCTGAAGAGTTTGTTATTTGAATGATCATTTTTTTGGATTGAGTTTGTGTGTATGTGTATCATGATGGTTAAAGTGCAGGAGTAAAATGCAATTTATCATTCTTGGAAGTTATCAATTTCATTTTTCCTTACAACTTATTTTGTATACAAATCTCCACAATAATTTGTCAGCATTATCTTGTTGTCTGTTTGGACAAGGAGAGATTGTAATACTGAAACATTAAGTTCCTTTCTTTTGCTACCATGCTGGGGATATTAGTATGGTCTTTATGGTCATTCATTTCTTTCAGTCTTTTTCAATCTTTATATTGTCTTGAATAGGTTTATCACTATATTAAATATTAATATCATAAACTTTCCCTTGATTTTCGTTGTAGATGATGAGTCCCTGTCCTCTGCCTCAACCAGTTCAGGTTCAGGTTTGGTTTCTAAAAGAGGTTACATTCCAAGGAGATTAGTGATTGGAAATGATGAGTACTGTTCTTTTTCATTGAGTTCTTCAACATCTTTTGTATCAGTGTCAAAATTTGTTGTCTTTTTCTAACAAGTAGCTATGCTGAAAGTAGGTCTATAAGTGGAGATCATATAATATGAGTGGTACAGTTCTATTGATCCTTTTAGAATGAAAAATAAGTAAAAAGAAGGTTATGTGAGAGGTAGATTCATGGGGTCTTGGCTTTTAACCAAATAAATCAACTTTTCATATGCTATTTTTACTTGTATTTCATTTTGGATTGAGTAATTTATATGGATAGTAATGTGTTCTTGTCTAATTAAAACAAGTTAAAAGCACAATTTTGGAAGATGAGAGTGTGATCTAGAGGATACGTTCAATTTTTAGGGGGTTTGGAGCACAGTTGGTCTCTTTTGCAGACACAAGTTGCAGAATACATGGAGAAGCTCCGTGGGGCTGTTCTCAAATACATTACAGTTTAGTGCATATAGTACATTTTGGTTTTTTATCATTTGTGTAAAACTGTGCTCTTGATAATTGTATCAAGATATACTATCTATAACACTAGAGAACTGAGTTCTCACAAGCATGCTGCAGATTTCTTCACTGTGGTATCATAATTCATAGAAAATGAATTGTAAATTTTGAATACTAGTATGACTAATGTATCTTTTGAATACTAGTATGACTAATGTATATTTAGTTGGAAAGCTGGGAATTAAGGGTTTGATCATGTGATTAGTTTATTTGGTGATTTGTTTGTCAAACACCAGCTTATGTATTTAATCATTATGTATTAAATCAGTATGTATTTAATTGGTATGTATTATGTCTGTTTAAATATTTTTGGGCCTAAATATTGGATAAGTCAATTAACCCGAAATACCCGTCCGCATTAACCCGAACCCGTCTAAATCAAACCCGTCTAAACCGACTCTTGAATTGGGCGAAAATGGGTCTGTTATTACTACCCGCGGTTTGGATTGGTGGAGGTTTTGGGTCCGAACCCGCCCAACCCGACCCGTTGTCCAACCCTACTTTCAAACCGAACACCTTGGCACGCCAACATCTTTTAATAGAAGCTTCTGGGAGTCAATTAGAGATGTCATTCTTTGCATCACTATTAAAACCATTACAAAAGTTCCAAGTCAAAAATTCAACATTTTCACTATAAACACCATAACAAAAGTTCCAAGTCAAAAAACTCAACCAACGTATTTTACCAACGTATTTTGATAGAAGCTTCCTGGAGTCAAGCTGAGGAAATGTGATTCTGTTTAGAATCGGATAAAATATTTCGCAGATCCGAATTACGACGAAGTGGTGGCCAAATTACGTCTGTCTTTGATCCATCCGAATTAGGTCAACAACAAAATGGAGTTTTCTGGATAAAATATTTCGCAGATCCGAATTACGACGAAGTGGTGGCCAAATTACGTCTGTCTTTGATCCATCCGAATTAGGTCAACAACAAAATGGAGTTTTCAGGAGGGTGGTTGTTGCATCGGATATCTTGGAAAACGGTTATATTTACTTTATTGGGATTCTGATAGGGTTTTTCCTTCCCACAAATTAAGTGAGTCTGTAGAGATCGTAACACTCACCGATTTTTGTAACACTCGCCGATTTTTCTAACCGTATTTGGATGGTGAAGCATCGCAGAGCCAAAACGAGAAATTGTTATTACTTAACCGAAGGTTGGACAACTATTTTTTCATGCAAAATATTATGTGAGGGGATGTGATTGTATTCATGAAGACCGTCAATGGTATTAGATTTTCAGTTCAAAGAACTGAGAACTGAAAATGAGAGTGCTCAAAAGTTCATTCTCTCTCAGGAAATTGAAAGGGATGTGATTGTATTCATGAAGACCGTCAATGGTATTAGATTTTCAGTTCAAAGAACTGAGAACTGAAAATGAGAGTGCTCAAAAGTTCATTCTCTCTCAGGAAATTGAAAGGTCAAATGAGTTTAAGAAATATGTCCAAAAAAAAATCTAAAGGTCAAATGAGTTTAAGAAATATGTCCAAAAAAAATCTAAAGAACTAATCTTTCAACGTAATCTTCTTCCCATGGTTATACACTGAGAGTATTTCAAGGCTAGATGGGAGAGTTAAGAAATGCAATTTCAAGTGAGAGTATTTCAAACAACAACTATGTCGGACAAACTAAGCTATTAAGCTGGAAGAAGTTTGATGTAAAATTTTTTATTTCATCCTTTTAGTTAATATAGAATTAGTATGGCATTGAAATTGCATCTGTTTTGTCTCAGGTGCGATGGAACGGAGACGGATCTACCATAAAAATCAACTCTGAAAATCAACTCTTGTCAAGACGAGTTTAATTTCCGTGAATGTCAAATTGCTTTCTAAATTTTTCCCTATTTTGTTGTGAATGTGCACGTCGTTAGACGAAGCTAAGTTTGAGTGAAGGATAAAGTGTGAAATAGGAAAAAATTTAGAAAACAATTTTGTTAGTACCATGTGTCTATGGTTTTAGGATTGGCTAAATTTTGGTAAAACATGATTTTGCACCAATGTTAAATAGGATGTCAGTACCAAAGTCATGACATCAAGGTCGGGTGCAGCAAGAGCTAGAAGGAGCTAATGACAGTATTGCTGGCATGTGTTTTGAACAGGATGTCATGACCAAATTCATGATATCACTGTGTGGTGCAGCAGAAGCTAGCAAGAGCTGAAGAAAGAAATGCTGCTATATGTCATCATCAAAGTAATGACATATGAAGGAAGAACTGTTGTCATGGAGCTGAGGCTGAAGAAAGAACTGCTGCTATGTAGCATTACCAAAGTAATAACATAGATGTCTGGCACAAGTGTTGCTGTGTGTTAGCAGTAGCCACAACAGGTTAAGTTGTGATAAAGTTAGCAGTAGCCACAACAGGTTAAGTTGTGATGAAGTTCCTCACAGGTAGTGAGTGAGGTGTGCAGCCACAACAGTTTGAGTTGTGATGAAAGTCCTCACTGGTGGTGAGTGAGGAGTGTTGTCATGTGTCTTAAGCATGACATATCTACATGACAAGAGAAGGAGCTGCTAGTGTATATCTCTTGACAGAATTGGCTTGGATTGATGAGACCATATGGAAAATACCTCATCAATAGAGATGTCAAGGAGATTTGTTAGGAACAAGAACAGATTGTGTTGGTATTCATAAAAGGATCTTGGAGACCTTTTAGGAAACTTTAATATACTTGTTTCTAATGATATTCTGCAGAAGATTGGGTGAAGCCAGGTCTGGTGTAAAGAAAAATCTGCAAAAGAGTGGATGTCATACTGAATGTCATGACATTGATCATATGACATCAGTCGTGCAGGCATGTTGGTTTTCTGTTATCTCAGGCTAGATTTCAGGAAAACTTGTTATGACCCCTGAGTTATGTCAGGAGAGATTCAAGGAAATGCTGACCATGCCATGACCTAATTGGACAACACCTTGAATAGTGGAAATTAGTTTTACTTTATTAAAACTAATATTTATTACTTCTGCACAGCCCAAGCCCAGTCTGCACGACTATAAAAGGAGGAGCAGAAGCAGAAGTAAAGCAAGCACTCACATCAAGAAAAACTAGAGTGTAAAATAGAGGTCTAGGGTTTGAGAGTCCCTTGTGTGTAAGTCACCCTTTGTATCTTTTGATACATTATGGTAGACATTATTGTAAGTGAAGAGGTATGTTCTTCACGTGTAAATTCTGTCTAGGAATACTTGTAATCCAAGCAATTGTATGGTGTATAATTGCATTGGTTAGGTAGATTCTAGGTTGTGTCTCACTCGAAGCTGTGAAGCAAGAGTGTGTGTGTTCTTGATCAAAGTTGTGAAGGAAGATCAAGGTGTGTGTTTTAAAGTGTCTCTTCAAAACTGTTTTTGTAATTGTTTAATATCACTGTTGTGTGATTAAGGGGGAGTGAGTGGGTATCCTCAGGTACTAGAGAGTCTCTAGGCTGAAGTGTCATTGGGTAGAGATTAAGTGAGAAGTGCAAACTGGAGGTTGGACTTTGAATTGATTCTACTAATAATGAATTTCCTCCCTGGCTTGGTAGCCCCCAGATGTAAGTGTGTTGCACTAAACTGGGTGAACAATTACGTGTGTTATTTATCTTTCTGCATTTACAATTCTGCATCATTTAAATGGTGAGATAAATAGGTCTGTCAGACTGCAGATGTCACAACAGACGTCATGACGTTGGTCATGACATTGGCACAATTTAAAGAAATTTAAATTGGTCACCCTCTGTCCTTGTTCTGTTCTAGCAGAGAACAATGTTCTTGGAACATCTGAAATCAGCATGCTAGAATTTTAATTGGTATCAGAGCAGGCATCCTGTCTGTTCTGGATGAGATCTTGGGAGATACTTTCTGGTGTTTTGAACAAGGAGAAGTTGCAGCTAAGTTGCTAAACTTGCTAAATGTTTCAGCTGCTGCTTATGGAGTGTTGAAGAAAGCTATAAAGGATTCCGTGTATATGCTATTGTGCCCTCTCATAAAGAAGCCTCTATGAACTGGTGAATGATTTTCCAAAGGAGGAGTAGATACCTCTGTGTGATGTCCTATAAGATGTGCTGACATCTTGGTTAGGGCATGTTGAAGATGTTCTTTCAATGTTTCCGCTGCATAGTTTTCTGATGAAAGAACTATGAAGGCCATGAAGATGTCAACAAAGATCTAGTCAGTCCAAAGTCGGGAGCAATGGAATGAAGAGATGTGGTTGGTGTCATATGTTGACCTCATGATTGAAAGGTTGGATTTATCATGTACCATGAAGGTAAGAGTAGAGCTTTGTTATTAAGAGGAAGTCATAGGCAGGATGAGTCAAGGGTGTCAGCCTTGATATTTCAGCATTAGAGATATTTATACAAAAATTACCCCTGGAAGTAATAAGGTGTAAATATATATTAGATGGTCTTCTCAACAAGTTGTAGAAACAGTTTCAGGTCCCTGAGTTGCTTGATGTTCAACGAGATGTTGTGACATTCCATCAGCAGAGTTTATGCATAATTCTGTTGACTTAAGGAGTGAGTCTGTAGACCAAAGGAGATATGGTTGGATCTGTATCTATTATAGTAAGGTTCTTGGC